ACACACACACACACACACACACACACACACACACACACACACACACGGCAGGCAGAACAGAACAAAGGGGTGTTTTTCTGGCAGCAAGATACGCACACAGAAGATGGGCCTCCACAGACAGGCGTGATGGTGTGGCCTGAAATCCCAGTAGATCCAGAGACTGAGGCAGGAGGTTCGCAAGTTCAAAGCCAGCCTCAGTAACTTCTCGAGGCCCTAAGCAACTTAGAAGACTCTGTCTCAAAAATAAAAATTAAAAAATATATATATGGCTGGGGATGTGGCTCAGTGGTTAAGGGGCCCTAGGTTCAATCCCTGTTTTTTTAAAAAAGAAAAGAAAAGGTCTTAGCGTCTGGCCAGCTCTCTGGAAGCACCCAAGTGGATCTGGGACCAGAGCCCTGCCACCCACCCCTCCAGCACATTTACCCACCCCCCCAGTGCTTTCCCACCCCACACAGTGCATTCCGTGCCACCTGAACGTGCCTCCTAAACAGCTCTGCACAGTGCACACTGCCCGGGCACAGAGGTTCCTGTTCATTCAGCCCCGATTATGTTTCCTGTAGCTGATGTCCACTGAGGTCCAGGCCATGCCCACTGCGGGCTGCGAGAGGACCCATCACATTTGTGCTCAAGTTGCTGCTGGTCTCCTTGAGAAGTAAGCAAGTCCCCTGCGGCGGGCAGCCAAGCAAAACAAGAACCCAAGGGTCATTGTGTGTGGGTGGGTCGAACCCTTGAGACCACAGACAACCCTGTGGGGTGTGGGGAGTCTGGGAGGGCTTCCTGGAGGAGTTGAGAGCTGACATGGATATAGAGGAGAGTGAAGAGCAACTTTCCAGACACAGGGTTTAGGGCAAAGGCAGGACTTGGGATTTGGTCTCCAAAAGGAAAAAACAAAAAACACAGCACATTCAAGAGTCAGCAACAAGACAGAGGAAGGCAGAAGCCACGGCCTTTCAGTGGTGTGGTGGCAACTCTGTCCTGGCCCCAACCCACTCGGCCCTCCACCCTCCACTGCTCCTAGCTCCTGTAGTCAGGACAGGAAGGTCGGCCAGCCCTGGCCAGCAAGAGGCCCTCATCCCTCCTGCTGGACTCAGTGATTGGTGCAGAGATGTGCTCGTGACCAGGATGGGCCAATCAGAGTCAACCTGAAGACTTTCTTGGAAGTGTTGAAAAGGGGGCTCTCTCCAGCGGGGTGTTTAAGCACCTGGAGGAAAGCCTGGTGACACTGGTGGGTCCCTCAGCCCGAGGCTGCAGAAAGGAGACAGCTGAGAGATGGAGATTTGTTCATTCTGTGTCAGTGTCAGTAGTGTCCCTAATACACTGTCACCAGCACCGAGGTTTGGCTGTGAGCCAGAAAAATGCGGTCCCTGCCCTCCTAGTGCTTAAGTTCCTGGGGAAGTCGGACCAAATAAATAAATAGGCAGATAAGTAAGCCACGTATATTCAGATAATCATGACCCTTAGGAAGAAAATGGGCAGGGTGATAGAGCAGAAAGAGAAACCTGACTTCAGCTGATGGCCAAGGAGGTCTCTCTGCAGAGGTGACATTTCAGCTGAGACGTGAGTGACAGGAAAGAGCCTGCTACCGGACACGGGAGAGTCCATCCAGACAGAGGGAACGACAGATACAAGTGTTCTGAAACAGAAATAAATGAGATTCCAGATAGTACCATCCGAGCTACAGGATCCAGCCATGCCTGAAGCTGAGAACTTTCAGTGACACTAAATAACTGCTTTGTAATTATTAAATAAATATAAATTGAATTTCTGTAAACCAGAAAAAGTGCTGTCATTTGAAAGTGAACTGACACTGTGGAAACATCGAGTGCTAATCTCCGAAACCTAATCTCTGAGTTTTTTGTCTGTAGGTAAAGGGAAGGTTTGAAAGCAGGGAGGAATCTTGCTCCCTCTCTCCTCTCCAATGCCCCATCCCTCCCTCCCACTCCTTGGGTCTCCATGCTCCACCACAGTGAGCCTGGCTGCTGCCAGCTCCCTGGGGTCCCAGTCTCCAGCGCTAGCACAGGCTGTTCCTCTTTTCAGTTGCTCTTCCCTACTTCTCCAAACTAACCGAACCTCAGCATCACTTGGAATATCCCTTCCTCCACTGACCCTCCACTTCTGAATCTGTTCCCAAAGCCCCAGGATCCCTCTGCATGCTCTCTTTACCTCTCAGTGCTTGCCCCCACCCCAAATGGTCAAAGTCAGGTTTCTCTGTCCCACCTCTGGGCCACGAAGGAGCTGATCGGGCTTCTCTTTGTTGTTATTTGAAACCTGCTATGATCTGAATCTGTCCTTCCCAAACCCTTGTCGGAACTGCAGGCCCATTGCCATGGGGACAAGGGGTGGGGACTTAGGAGGCCCCTGGGCCTCCAAGGCTCTGCCCTCATGGATGAGTTGGTGCCTCATCAAAGGGATGGAGGCAGAGGGATCAAACCTTTTGTCCTTCTGCCTTTTCTGCCATGTGCAGGGTCTTCTCAGGCCTCTGCCACACAGAGGAATGGCACGAGGCACCATTGTGAAGCACAGAGCACAGATCTGCAGCACTTTGATTCACTTTGATTTGGGGCTTCCCAGCCTCCAGAACAGTCAGAAATAAATGTCCTAGTCAGTGACTTTTTGTGACAGCAGCGGGGAAGTGGCAAACAGTTCCAGGTGACTGCCAGTAACGTGCATCATCCAAGGGTCCCCATGATGATTCCCTGAATCTCTTTCTGCGCACACTGTCTCCTGTCTGGCCTGTAGTTGGGGCTGGGTCCCCAGCATCACACCCTGGTGTGCGTAGGGCCCCCGGGCCGCCAGGCTGGGCTGGGCAGCAGCAAGGCCTCGCCCCTGTCATTCCACCCCGAACCTTGGACTCGCAGTTGCAGTCAGGCTTCCTGTCCACAAACTTGTTTTCTTTAGGAGTGAAATGTAATCCCTCTCGCGCCAGACTGCAAGGACATGCAAATGAGCTAACAGTGCTGTTTTGTGCCATTCTCCGCTTATGCAAAACCTCCTGAAATAAATCGGTTGCCTGAAAGCAGGAGGAGGTGGAGGACAAGAAGGAAGGAGGAGGGGGACCAGCGCATGGGGCTCTGCGCCAACGGAAAGAAATGTCCCAGAGGGCTGTCAAGCTTTCCCCTGTTGATGGCACCCCGAGGCCCTCACTGGCTGCTCGGACTCCTCCACTGCCACTAGATGGCAGCACACACCAGCTCTGGGTCCCAGGGCTCAATCTGTATGTGGCCCCCCAGACTCACTCCATCCTGGGCTGCTCCTTCCTCCGTGCTGCGGCCACATCTGGGGAAATGTGCATCTCCCTCTTCTCAAATAGGCCTTGAGCAAGGAGGAGAGAGGCCTGGTCAGCTCCGCATGGTCCCCATGCTCCCAACCCTGGGTTCCACAGAGAGGGCCCACTTCCCCCATCAGCTCAAGGGCAAGATGCTGAATTTGGGAAGGGAAGGGAAGGAAGAAAGGGAGGGACGGAGGCAAGAAGGAGGCAGGGAGGTGGCAGGGAGGTGGCTGGAGGAGAAGGGAGAGAAGGAAGGTAGGAGGGAAAGAAGAAAGATGGAGAGAAAGAGGGGAGAGGAGAGGTAGAAAAAGAAATGAAGGAAGAGGGAATGGAGATAAGATGGAGGGAAGAAAGAGAAAAGGAAAGAAAGAAGAAAAAGTCAAGAAAGTTATGATTTCTGTGTACAAAGTTGGGTATTGCAAGTAAATGCTTCGATTTCACTTTGATTTTAAAACTCCAATACTTTGGCCATTCTTTCTTTTTCACCCAGATGTTATTCGAAGTCTCTGGAGAGAATTTCATCAGCGAGCGGAGGGTGAGAGATGAGAAAGCAGCGACTGGGTCCTGGAAGTTTTGATAAGCAAATGCGGCCGGGCTCGCGCGCTCTCTCCATTGGCTGCTGCTTCGCCGCCAGATTTTGACACAAATAATCAGATTGAAAATCAGGGAGGGGAACAGAAGAGGAAAAAAACACAGAGACACACACAGAGAAAAGGAGAAGTGTCTATTTGTGCAGAGAGTCGCGAGGCTGACCGAGTGGAGTCCAGTCCGCAGGGACGGACGGCTTGGAGGTTCCCGCGGACCCTGCGCTGCGCTCTGGAGGGGACCGCTCCCGCGGTGAGTGCTGAGGGGCGGCTGGGCGCTCGGCCTTTAAATTTCCATTTCTCACTGAGAGAGCCTTTCAAAGCAGGGCACCTAGTTCCTCTGGCCGGGTCAGGAGGCACAGGTGGACTAGCAGCCTTCTAGGGATGTCTCCAGCGGGGTCCGGGGGACACCATGGTAAGGACCGCCTGGCCTGAGATGCCCGAGCTCCTGCGTCTCGGTGAACTTCGCATCCCCGACTTGCACCAAGCCACACCCACCCGAGTTCTCCCAGGGACGTGGGCAGTGCGTGCACACAGCCCTCGGCACTGGGTTCCCGGGACACTCGAGAGCTAGGCGCCTTCCCCTCTGGAGTCCACGGCGGGGAGCGCACAAGCCGCTCCAGCCTCCCAGACAACAGGAGCGCAGGCGGAGGTGCTGTCCCTCTTCGCTGTAACTGTCCCTGGTCTTTTCTACCTATTTTGGGGGGCGAAGGCCGCGTGCCAGTCCTGTGGGCTCCTGGGGAGAGCCGCTCACTCGGAAGCAGGCTGGTTAAGGAGGCACTGGGGATGCGCCATTGGTACATGGTGGAGTGCTTTTTTTTTTTTTTTTTCCTGGAAAGAACATCTACAACGTTATATCTTTGGGGCAAATTAAATGACATTCCCACCCTGTGGGCCTGGTGGCTACTGGAAACTGGCTGAGCTGCACCTGCCGGCTCTTGCCTCGTAGGCCACGGTAGAATACTCCCAAGCAACGTCTTGGACACGGAGATAGGTGACTCTCCTAGCCCTTTCTTGCTCTCAGACTCAGGGTCCACGTGCTGGTGGCCCTGCAGAGAGATCTTGGAGGAAGTCAGAGAGCCATACCTGAGTTAGGTGTGACTGGCAAAAGCACCGAAATCAGTGTGAATGGTTTCTCAGGGCTCCGTGGAGAGCAGGGTGGGCTGGCCAGGGTCCGTGGGAAGGCTCTGGGACCAGGAAACCAGTCTGGACTCTCCACCTGGTCCAGCACCTACACCCTTGGCAGAAACAGCAGAAAACCTCCCCACTGGTGTGGAGAGGGGCTTTGGTGTTCCTTCATTCCAGAAATCCCACCCAGTGGGAGCTGCTCTGGTGCTAATACAGAGATGTGCGGGAAGGGCTTCTTTGGCTCACCTTTTTAAATTGTGATAAAACAGATTCACAAAATTTACCATTTTGTATTTTTTTTTCCTGGTGCTGAGAATGGAACCTAGGGTCTCACACAAGCTGGGTAAGCATTCTACCCCTGAGCTACATCCCCCCTGCAACCTCTTGCCACCCCTTTTTTTGAGATGGATATTTCTACGTTGCCCAGGATGGCCTGAAACTCCTGGGCTCAAGAGATTGTCCTGCCTCAGTCTCCTGAGGAGCTGGGATCACTGGTGCGTCCTGCTGTGCGCAGCTCATTTTAGGCATTTTTAGGGGTACTGTTCTGTGGCATGAAATCTATTTACATTGTTAGGCAGCCATCCTGCACCTGTTACACCTTCTAAACCTGGAGCTCTGTACCTATGAGCAATGTCCATCTTTCCCAGCCCCTGGAAACCTCCCGTCTGAATGAGTCTCTGAATTTGCCTGTCCCAGGTACTTACATAGGGGATCAAGGTCCACCCTGTCATTGCAAGTGGCAGATTCTTTCCTTTCTAAGGCTTAATAATGTCTCCCCGTGGAGAGCCACTCTTGGGGACCAACTGCGCCGCTTGGCCACTGGGGACAATGCTGCTGTGACCGTGGGTGTGCAAAGATCTCTCTGAAGTCCTGTTTTCAGGGCTTGTGGACACAGACCCAGAAGCTGGTTCCCTCACTTTAGACACTGAGTTCTCCGCAGGGCCCCCAGCACGGCCCGGCTCCCCTCCCCACCACTCCCAGCTGCAAGGGTTTCAGTCTGTTGGTCCCCTCATGTCTTTAAACATAAAGGAAGTCCCAAGGGTCCTCCATAGCTGACCCTGAGAATCGGCTCAATCTTACCCAACCTTCCCCAAAAGGGAACCGGAGTGAATTAGCCAAGGTGGGCCAGTCCCTCACGGAAGGTCAACGAATCCTACATGGGATTTTAGAGCAAAAGGGAAGTTTAGAAATCTTAGCCCAACCGTCTCTTTTGAGAGATAGGAAAACCAAACCCAGGTTGGTGGCCGCCGCGGTCACAAGCTCAAGGTCACAAAATCAGACTCATCCCCACAGGCATTACCTCCATCCAGGAAGACCAGAGCCCCGTGATCCTGACTCCACCTAGAAGATGGGTGCAGGAGGCTGTCAGGGTGCAGGTAGGGCCCTGGCTGCTGGAATCTGACCAGGGTCAGGGGACCCTCCATCAGGATGGGAGGTTAATGGGGCCTCCTTCCGGAGGCTGATACCATCAACACCTCTGTTTTATGAAGAAACCGGAGCTTCTTTCACAATCTCTGCTCCTAGCTCTTTCTCAGAACGGTCCGTGTGAATCAAAACCGAGTGGTTGTTAATTAACTGCACTATAGGTGATTGGTTCCCTTTTTTTTTTTTTTTTTTTTTTAACTCAGCTAACAGGGGCCAAAAGGAAGTGTGCTGGGTGCATTTGGTTCCCACTGAGGACTTCAGAGCTTGGCCGTGGAATTGGCTGATTTCCTGTCACTTTGCCAGGCTGAGGGGTGAGGAGGACATGGGGGATCAAGGAGATCCTTGGAGTAGGCTCGAGAATCACCTGCCTCCCGTGGGGAACCCCAGAAACTGGATCCCCTCCCCCTCCACCACTGTGGAGTTGGCACAATCTCCGTGACCCCAGAGCCTGCCACTGCTGTCCAGGATGTTAGTCTGTTGACACGGCTGCTTCTCTGGCTTCCCATAGGGAATCTGTCCATCACTGCCCTTCCTGTGACCCTGCAGGACTGATGTGGGGCTTGGGGGATTTACAAAAGACCTGAAGACCAGAGGAGTGTGATTCAATGCCTTCTCGCTCTTCGTGCTGTAGGCTGTGAGGATCTCAGATGGGACTGGGTAGCAGGACAGGAGCCCTCGGCCTGGCTCTGCCGTGACCTTAGACAAGCCACCGACATCTCAGCCTAAGTCCCCACCTGCAACCTAGGGCACGGCCCAGCAGCCCAGCGCTGGCACAGACAGCAGGATCAAATGCCCCCACCTCTGGCCTGTCCCTTAGGAACATGGAGGCCCCAGGCCAGCAGACAAAGTCCTTGCTCTGCCCTGGGGTCCTGGGCAGCCTCTGAGCCAAGGCTCCTCCTCGGTGACATCAGTATGGGACAGGGTTCCCTAAAGGTGCTCAGGTGGCTGAACAGACCCTGGCTGCCAATTTACCCTGGCACTGTCTCAGAGGCTTCAGCGGGCACCTTGGTTGTAGCTGATCTTCTTATAAAAGAGCCTGTGTCAAAAACAAGCAGGTCATCTTTTGACAGATTGTGGCTTTAGGCGGCCCCCACAGGACCAAGGTGGAGGGAACCCAGGCCTGGCCCAGCTCACGGGGGTCCCTCCCACTCTGCCCAGGGTCTGGCCTCCCCAGGATGTTTCCAGAGGCGAAGAGTTCAGAGGGGGAAGGAAGGGGGTGTGGGGAGCCCTGGCGGGGGAGGGAAGAGGCAGGAGGAGGAAGACGTGTCCCTGGAAGATAAGGTGGCTGTGGGCTGCCTGGCCTGGGGCAGTCCCCACAGAGCCTTTGTTCAAAGAGCTGAGAATCTGACAGGGAGGGGATCCCACCCCTCCTTGTAGAGCTCAGAGAGAGGAGGCCTGGAACATGTCCCCCGTTCCCTGGGGATTTCTGTGGCCACTGGTCCAGGACTGGGCTGTCCTGCAGGTGTTGCACCTGCTCTGCCCCAGATGCTGGGCACGCAGCAGGATGCAGGCCTCCTTCCTGGCCTCCGAAGCTGCTCCTCATCTGGGCAGAGGTGCCACCACCCATAGCTCAGATGAGGCACACACTGAGCACCTAGGGATTAAACCCAGGGGCACTTAGCCACTAAGCTCTTCCCCAGCCCTTTTTATTTTGAGACAGGGCCTCCATAAATTGCTGAGGTTGGCTTTGAACTGGCCATCCTCCTGCCTCAGCCACTTGAGCCTCTGGGATTATAGGCCTGCACCACTGTGCCCAGCTCATGAGCTTCTTTGTGACATGTGAAGTTCCCTCCTGCTCCCAGCAGTCCCCTGGCATTGGGGAATGATCTCTGTTAAGCAGATCTGGATACCAAGGCTCAGGGACAACATCCAGCAAGGAGGGACCTGGACTACCCACTCCCTGCTGCTGCCACAGCCCAAACTCTCAATGTTGTCCTCGGACCCTGGGCCAGAGGACAGGCACACCGAGGCTCTCTTCTGCGGACTCTGGTCTTCCCTTTGGGGGGGGGGCTGCCTTCTCTAATCCCCACCCACCCCTGCACACCCCAGCAGGGCAAGGCCTTATCGCCCAGCCCCCACAGCTGCTTGGAGCAGCCCAAATCCTTTCCCGCCTTCACCTTGGCTGGGTGCTATCACCCTGCAACCCTGTGTGGAAGCTGTGGGGTGGGGGAGGGACTCCACCCAGGCCTTGCAGGACTGGTGCCTCTTCTGAGCTCTGAGCTCAGGCGTGTGCAGCCTCGGGAGGAGGAGGGCAGAGGACCTGGAAGATGCTCTCTGTTTCCCCAGGGCCCTCGGGAGAGCCTCGTGAGCAGGCGGCCAGGGAGGCAAGCTGTTGGGGATGAGGCGGGGAAGGAGACCCTCGCTGTGCAGGGGAAGCCAGGGGGAGGGGGTGGTCAGGATGGTCCAGCTTCACACACCCTTGGACCTGGGAATAAGGGCAGTAACTTGACAGATCTGGTCCTCAATTTGTCCCCCAAACCCTGGTTAGGGGCTCAGCGATGATGCTGGGCTGGGCTGCCACTCAACCATGAGAGTTGGTGGACATTTGTGTCTTCCTGTATGGATGATATTGTGTGGTTTTGGGGTCCTCTTGGGCCCAAACCTTATCTACTCTCGGGAGAGAGAAGGGTCCTTCCTCTCTGGGAACCAGACATACTTGTCAGCTCCACAAATCTGGATGTCATATCTTAAAGAAAAGAAAATTGGCCCAGAGAGGTTAAGTTTCTGCCCTAATTTGCCCAGTAGTGAGCCAAGATAAGCACTCAGGAGCTTCTCAACCCCAAACCAGAACACTTTTTTTCCTATGGCATCTAATGGTGGATTCCACTGGGAATCACATGCAGCTTTCTAGAAATGGGGTCCACAGTGTGCCACGGACAGAGACCATTGCCCCTGCCCTTCTCTCTCTGATCTTGTACAACCTGGGGCTTGCTAGTGGGAGCAGGCTGACTCAGGATTTTCGGGGTGTGAGTGTATTCCTTTGCTACTGAGGGATGGCAGCCTTTGTAGCTGCTGTGCAAGTATGTGCCACAAGCAGGGTGGCTTAAAGACAACGGAAATGAGTGCCCTCACAGTTCTGGGGTCTAGAAGTTCAGAATCCAGCATCAGCAGGGTCACACCCTTCCAGCAGCTCTGAGGACTCTGCTCCACGCCTCAGTGGTCCTTGGCTTATAGAGACATGATTGGGATCCCGCCACCACTGTCACAGCCTTCTCCCTGTGTGTCTGAGTCCAGGTTTCCCTCTGCAAGGACACTGGTCATAGTGGACCCGAGGTCCTCCCTGACTCTGGATGACCTCATCTTGATTTGATTCCATCTCCAAAAAGGCTGTTCCCCACTCGATCACCGGTCCAGTAGGCGTGAGCTTTGTGAGAGACAACTCAACCCAGCACGGGGGGCTGTTTTCATCCCAGGAGGAGTTCAAAATCCAGAGGAGCGTTGTCCTGTCCTTCTTTTAACTGCCCCTCCCCTTGCAGGTGGGGGCACCTCTGAAAATGCCGCGCTCCTTCTTGGTAAAGAGCAAGAAGGCCCACACCTACCACCAGCCCCGAGCGCAGGAGGACCCTGCCTGGCTTCCTGCCATCGCCCCGGGTGAGTCCCAGTCCAGCTGGCTGGCTGCAGTCAGGCCTTCCCCCCGAAGCCCCTCTTGCAGTCCGGCAGCAGCAGCTCGGCAAGGTCTCCCCTGGGGTGACGGGGCATGGGCATTGGAACCCGGGCTGCTGCAGATGGGTGGGTCCCACTTGGAGGTGCAATGGAGGGCTGCTCTAGAGGCAAGGCTGACCTGGGGGTCCTCGGCACTCTGTCCACATCCTGCCCACCGGGAAGAGCCCTGCACGTGAGCAGACAGAAGCAATGGCAGATGGTCTGTCCAGGTCCCCTCCTCCTGGGAAGGGCTTCTGAGGAGCTGCAGCTGGTGACTCTGAAGTCTTGTCTCTCCACAGTGACCAGGGACCAGGTCCTGAGCAACAGCCCTGAGGTCAGCACACTGCCCCCAGACCAGTACCTTGACTGGAACAGTGTCAAACGGGAGCCAAGGCTGGAGCCTGGGCAGAGCTTGACCAGGATGGCCTCAGTGCCAGGTAGCCAGCCTGGGACCCCAGGCACTCCCCAGCAGAGCTGAGGGAGGGAAGCTGGATGGGCTCTAGGATCAGCGTCCCCTGGGATCTTGGTCAGGAGGACCAACAGTGCCCACTGACACCTGGATGCCATAAGGGCTCTCTGGCTTCTACCTGGATGCTCCTTACAGGGAGCTCAGTCCAGATGAGGGCTTCTGGGAGGTGGGCCAGCAGCAACCAGCAGGTGCCTGGGGCGGGTGAGGGGCGTCCTGGGTTGAGAAGGGGTGTTTCTTGCCTAGAAAGTCTGAGGAACCATAATAGGGACCCAGACAGCCCTGGCAGTGAATATGCAGGTCACACCAGGAACCCCTCTACACTAGGTGTCACTAGGTGGTGGTGGGTGCTGGAGAGCCGGTCCCTCATTAGTGACTCACCAGGCATATGTCCTTGTCTCCTCAGAGGGCCCTGTAGTGATGGCCCGGCCCCGGGATGGGGACTCGCCCCTCTCCGACTCCCTGCCCTTCTACAAACCCAGCTTCTCCTGGGACGCTCTGGCTTCGTCCTACGGCTGCCAGCAGGGCCCTTCCACCATGCAGTCGGCCTTCCTGGAGCGCTCCGTCAGGCTGTACGGCAGCCCCCTGGTGCCCAGCGTGGAGCCGCCGCTGGACTTCAGCCTGCGCTACTCCCCAGGCATGGACGCCTACCACTGCGTCAAGTGCAGCAAGGTGAGCACGGCAGTGGCCGCTGGGCGGGGCTGGCTGGCCGAGGGCTGCAGGCCGCTGCCATCCCGGGGTCTCACGCTCTGCCCCCCCAGGTGTTCTCCACCCCTCACGGGCTGGAGGTGCATGTCCGCCGCTCCCACAGCGGGACGCGGCCTTTCGCCTGTGACGTCTGCGGCAAGACCTTCGGCCACGCCGTGAGCCTGGAGCAGCACACCCACGTCCACTCCCAGGTGAGGCCGCCAAGACTGGACGCCCCCACCAAGACGCTTCCCTCGGGAGCCTGGGGGCTGTGGCTAGGTCTCTCCTCTTGTCCCGGAGGTGATGCAGATTGGGGGGCCCCTGACTAAATGCCCCCAGGTCTGCCCCCTCCCACAACGCTCCTGGGTCTCCACTCCACCCAGCTGATGGGAGGGAGCTCTTGACCCTGGTGGGATCTGGGGACAGCAATGGCTGTGATGCTCAGGAACGTGTCTGTCTCTGGGTGGCCCCAGCAGGTGTCATTGGCTTTGAGGACTTTGCTAGGCTTTGCCAGGATGGACGAGTCCCCATCCTGGCAGTTCTCAGAGTCAGAGTTAGGGTCAAAAGCTCACTCCCCCAACCCCCACTAAGAGAAATCCAGCTTAGGTTCTTCACTCCCGGAGGGCACCGGAACCCCACCCGGTGAACAGAGGGGGGGCGGCAGGGAGGGACCAGGGAGCTCCCACCTGTGAGCCCTGCAGCCTGTGGGTCTGGGTACCGGCCTGTTCTCAGCCTCCACCTCCCAGCAGTGCTTGAGCCGTAACTGTCAGAAGCCCAGCGTACAGACCAGGAAACAGGCTGGGGGCAGGGGGTTAAGTGACCCCTAGAATCACATGACTGCTCAGAGGTCAGAATCGCACCTCAGTAACTCAGACTCTTAACTGACCCACTGCTCAGCCTCTCAGCCCTGCCTCAAGGGCCTCAATCAGGGTCAGGGTCATGGAATGTGCGCTCCCGAAAAGGCTGACCGTTCAGCCGTCAATCAGTCGGCCAGCAGACACTTGCTTTAGTAGGATACTGAGAGCAGGAGGGACCTCACACAGGCCTCTCAGGCCCACCCCTGGTCCTACCTGGGCAGCAGGATGGGGCCTCCTGGGTTCTGCTCCTCCAGGCCCTGCCCTTGAGGCCACCCCAACGGAGTGTCCTCTTCCTTAGGGGATCCCAACTGGGTCCAGTCCTGCGCCCAGCCTGGCTGTCCTGGGCGGCGAGGCCCCACCTGCACCTGACCCCCCGGGGCCTCGTTTCCTCCGGCAGGAGCGCAGCTTTGAGTGCCGGATGTGTGGCAAGGCCTTCAAGCGCTCGTCCACCCTGTCCACCCACCTGCTCATCCACTCGGACACGCGGCCCTACCCCTGCCAGTTCTGTGGCAAGCGCTTCCACCAGAAGTCGGACATGAAGAAGCACACCTACATCCACACCGGTGAGTGGCAGGCCGCCTCCTGGGGAGCCGCGCCCGCCGGCTGTCAGCCAGGGCAGGTCGGGTGACCGGGAGGCGCAGGCTGGTGGAGGGCCAGATGCCCGTGGCATTCACACACACCGAGGAGTGGATACTACAGGGGCAGGGACAGCACGGTGCCAGCACTGGTGGCCTCTGGGCAGGTGACTTGCTGAGGCACTCATTGGTGAGCGCCTCTGTGCCTGGCCTGGGCCAGCTGTGGGGATGTAGCCAGGGAAACCTGGCCCCTGGCCTCTCCTGTGGACAGTGCAGGCCTTTCTGGCTCGTCACTCTCTAAGGTGGACATGGGTGGACAAAGAGGGGGCACAGCAAAGCTTGGGAGGGCAAATGTGGGAGGGGAGGAGACGCAGGCCTGGCTGCCGCTGACCCTGGCCCACCTGATCCCGGCCTCCCAGGGGAGAAGCCTCACAAGTGCCAGGTGTGCGGGAAGGCCTTCAGCCAGAGCTCCAACCTCATCACGCACAGCCGCAAGCACACAGGCTTCAAGCCCTTCAGCTGTGAGCTCTGCACCAAGGGCTTCCAGCGCAAGGTGGACCTGCGGCGGCACCGGGAGACCCAGCACAACCTCAAGTGAGGCCATGCCTGCTCTGGCTCGTCCAGGGCAGCCTACCTGGGCGTCCCATCACCTACAGGCCAGCTTCATGCCTCCAGATTCCCAGGCTCCTGGAGGTGGCACTGACAGGAGGCTTCAAATTTGTTTTGAGACTCATGAAATTGCTGTGTGACCTTGGGCAAGTGACTTTCCCTTTCTGGACCAATGTTCCTCCTTCCACAAAGTGTGAGGGCTGGTCTGGGTCTTTGGGGGCTGAAGTTGTCCACAGATGTGCTCACCTTGAAAGAACACAGGAAGCTGGAACACCCCAGGGGACAGGAATGCCAAGAACACACCAGAGCTGGGACCCACAGTGAAAGCCTTCTCCTGCCTGCTGTCCACTTGGATGCGGCCATCTTGAATTTCCAGGGACCTCTTTCTGGCTGCCACAGCATTCCGAGCTGCCTCCTGTCACCACCAGCCCTCAACTGGCCACTAGGATTCAGCCGTGGGGCTGAAGAGGACAGCAGTCACTGCTCCTCTCAATTGCTGTAAATAAAAATAAAGAAGGCTTGTTTCCACGCGCTGCACGAGGCTCTGGGGAGGGACGGTGGGGAGTTGGGGGAGCAAAGAAGGCTGTGGAGGGACTCGGGGACAGGAGGGGTGGCGTGCACAGCCCAGCAGGTGAGGGCTGCTGCCCTGGCACAGGAGGGCCAGCCGCACAGTGATGCTGTGACAAAGTGTACAACCCAGTCCCCCAGCACCCAGCCCTTCTCACAGCCCCAGGGCCGGACACCAAGCCCCTGTCAGCCGGCAGGCTCCCGGTCTTTCAAGATTCCTCCTCCTTAGCTGCCTCCTCCCTCTTTCTTCCCTCCTTCCTGCCTCCCTCCTGCCTCCCTCTCCCCCTCCCTCTCTCTCTGCTTCTTTCTTCCTGTTGAACCCAGGGCACTTAGCCACTGAGCGCCAGCCCCAGCCCTTTTTGTTTTTGAGACAGGGCCTCCCTAAGTTGCTTAGGGCCTCATTAAATTGCTAGGCTGGCCTCAAGTTTGGTGATCCTCCTGCTTCAGCCTCCTGAGCTGCTGGGATTGCAGGCGTCCACCGCCACGCCTGGCTCCAGCTTCGGAGGGCAGCCCTCTCCTCTCCTCTGCCATGCCTCTCCTTCTCCCGCCTTTGCCCTTCTTGCCTCTCTTAAGAGGACGTGGAATAACATCGGCCCCTGGATAACCCAGGATGATTGTCCCACCTCAAGACCCTTAATGCAATCGCAGTGGTGGGCTGGATGATGGCTCCCAAGTTGACATCTGTGTCCCAGTCCCTGCCCCAGCCAGGATCACCTCAAGTGGCCAAAGGGGAGTGACAGGTGTGCCTCAGGTGAGCCTGGTGTGGCCCCTGGGCAGTGGTGTGAGTCCAGGTGGGGCCCTGAACCTCTCTGGGCTCAGTTTCCTCTGCAGAGCGGGACACGTGACAGTCCCTTTCTGGAAGTGCTGTTGGAAGGATTCCCTGGGGCCCACATCTAAAGACAAGGGCAGGCCTAGCCAGGTGCGAGCTACCAGGTCACGAATGTCCCTGCTTGAAGTCCTGGCCATTAAACAAGGCCCCTTGCTTACAGCTCAGGAGCCCCTGACCACAGAGAGCAGCTGTCTGTGGATAGTGTCCCCCCGTCTCTGGGCCGGGCCCAGCCTCAGGTTTGGCAGTCGACAAGTCGGTGAAACCCCAGCAGGTACTGAACGGGACTGAGCGACTCCAGACACGGGCTCTAACCGACACGCCCTCTGCAAGGTGCCTGGTGGTCCCACTTTACAGAAGGGCAGCTGAGGCTCAGAGAGGCCAGCCACAGAAGAGTGGAAGCCACAGAGCTTGCCCCCGCAGGTTTCCTTTTTTTTTTAATATTTATTTCTTAGTTCTCGGCGGACACACATCTTTGTTGGTATGTGGTGCTGAGGATCGAACCCGGGCCGCACGCATGCCAGGCGAGCGCGTTACCGCCTGAGCCACATCCCCAGCCCCTCATGTTTCCTTTTTAATAAGCTTTTTTGGGGAGGGTGTGGCTGGGCTCGAACCCAGGTCCTTCCCCAGGCTGGGGAGGTGTTTCCTTTCAGAATGTGACTTAACCTGGGGCTTGTGACTAGCTGTTCAGCGGCTCTGACCCCAAGGCTCACCCCGTCAAGGAATAGCAATGGTGACCTGCCCGGAGCAAAGGCTAGTGCCCACTGGCCACGGTCACTCATCCTTGGAGGAAGCTGAGGCTGTTCCTGTTGCAGGTCTAGGCCTCCCATCTTGGGGCAGTGGGGGCCATCCCTCAGTTGATGTGCATCCTACAGAGAGGACCTCGGTGCTGGCGGGACGGCCAGCACCGGTGTGCCCCAAGCCTGCCCACAGCCTCCAAAGCCAAAGGGAGGAGAGGGCCCAGTGGCCAGCAGAGCCTTGACTGCGTGACTTCTCGGAGTGGTGGTGTGTGATGGGCGGTGCCCACCTCCACAGGAGGAGATGCGCCCCGAGGACGAGGAAGGGGAGGGGGATGTCCACCTGCGTGCCCACGGTCACATGGCAGGCCCAGCAGGTTGGCATCGGGAGCCCCATGGTGTTTCCTCTAGTCTGTCCTCTGTCCAGACCTCTGTGAGGCTGCTGTCTGGATCCCCCTGAAAACTGGCAAATCTGGGCTTGGCCAGCAGGCCCTGAAGGGCACGCCCCTGCAGAGGCGCTTCCTGTTCATCCAGATTCCCCCAAACACCCCATCAGGTGTGTGGGGCTGGGGGGTGAGTCACCTAAGAGGGTGGTCACCTACTCAGCAGGCTCCCCGCCCATGTCCTGCAAGGCCTGGGTCTTGAAGGCAGGGAAAGATGGACTCTAGTGGCCAGGGCACAAGACCCACAAGGCCCTGGAGAACACCAGCCCCTGCCCTCCTCCTGCCCATGGGACACTGAGGTCTAGAGAGGGAGAAGGACTTGTCCAAAGCTGCACTTCAGGGCGAGACCCTGCACATCTCAGATCAGGAGAAAGAGTCGGGGTACTTGCTGGAGTGGGGGTGCTCCGTGCACACACACACACTCTCTCTCTCCCTCTCTCTCTCTCTCCCTCTCTCTCTCTCACACCCCCCCCCAGGGGGGGCTGCTTTGCATGCTTCTGTTTGCTAAACAAAACGAAGCCAATATCAGGATTGTAACCCTTCTCAGCATCGGCTTGGAGGAGAAGCTGAGCAGGGGCGGCCAGGATTTCCTTCCTCATTGGCCATGGCTCCTTCACTTCCTGAGGCTGGGATTTAACAAGCAGTTGGGAGGGGACCACAGACAGCAGCCACCGAGCAGGGACCCAGCCCCCATTTGCATAACAGAGGGGGCAGGTGTGTGGCAAGTGGCAGGAAGCCCAAGATCAGCTTCCAGGGGAGGACTGCACAGGGTGGAAAGGGTGGCAAACGCCAGGCTGGGGCAGACGGCTTGGAGGGAGCCCGGCTCCCCTGCCAAGCTGGAGAGCCACTGCCGCCCCACCGCACAGCTGCTGGGCCCGAGGGCTGCACAGGGTGACCTCAGGTGCAGCGTCTGAGGAGAGGGCAGTTTCAGGCTGTCCCCTGTGCCCCTGAACACAGGAGAAGCCCCTCCCCAGAGCAGGCCACGTCCCCACAGGGTGGCCAGGTCCTGCTCACCAGGGTTCCCTGGAGGACACACTGGGAGGTGGCCTGCCACCCTCCATGGAAATCACTGATAAGAATGGAAATGCTCTCCAGGGTCAGCCCTGGGATTGTGTGATCAAGGTGGCCCCAGCCTGTCTCCCTCTCCAGCGGCAAAAATCTGTCTGGTGGCCTGGAAGACCAGCGGGTGGATGGAGGCCAAGAGGGAGGGGACAGGTTCTGGGAAGTAAGAGAAGGGGAGAGAGAAAGGGTCCTGGGCCATTTCTCACATCAAGAGCCCTTCTGGAGTCAGGTGTGCCCCCAACCCATCACTTGATGGTCAACTCACCCCAGCTGCCCACCATGACCCAGCCGTCACAGGTGACCCCAGTCCCTGACCTCAAGCCTTCACACTACTATTGCCCTCCAGGGCTCCCCTCTGCAGAGTGTGGGTGACGTCCACCCAGGGGGCGGGGCCAGGAGAGAAGAAGAATCTGGGTTGGCCAGTGTTGTACCCAGCAGGTGAGGGGTACTGCGCCTTGGTCTGGGGAACAGGCAGGGGCAGAGGTGGCATGGAGCTGAGCCGAGAAGGGTCCCCTAAGGCTGCTGCACAGTGTGCTCTGCAGGAGCGGAGGGGGCACTGGGGCCCCAGTCCCTGCTGAGGTTGCCCAGGAGTGGAGGACAGCAGGATGGAGGCGAGGCGGGGGCAGGGAGAAGACACTGGGAAACCCGGCCTCTACCCAGGAGCCCTGCCACCCGGCTCCAGACAGGAAGGACCTTTCCTGGTCCTCTGCAGAGGCCTCCGAGGAATCCTCAATGTCTTCTCACCCTTGCACCTCTGCCCACGGGGTTCCCTCTGCCTGAATGCCCTCTTCCCTCCCCTAAGCCCTCTCAGCCCTAAATCCCAGCCCCCAGCACCAGAAAAGCTTTCAAAACTCACCCGTCCCTGGACCCTCCATTCTACTCCTGGGAATGCCACCAAGAGAGCTGTGGGTGGGCACACAGAGGGCCCAGGAGCACCTCCTCATCCTGTTTGTAAGGGCAAAAAGAGAAGAAAAGGGAACCATCCCCAGTGCCCACAAGGGGAGTCTGGCCAAGCGCAGGGTGTCCCTGTGGCCTTGAAAGGAGCACCTGTGTTTCCTAAGAACCGCCCTGGAAGCAGGCCACCAGGCTGGTCTGAAGCCCCTGGTGTGACTCATGCCAGCTGTGTGCAAGCAGTTTGCACCTCCCGGCCCGCCCTGTGGCCGCAGGTGGAGGGGGTCTTCCCAGAGGCTCCGCGGTGGGCTGTTCCAGCTCCTCAGCAGCACTCAGGGTCGGCCTTGGAATGAACCTGGGGGCCATTTAAATGACACAGGAGGACGGGGGCGGGGGTGGGGGTTGATAAACACCGAGCCATTTCATAAAAGGGACTTGAGCATCTGTGGATTTTGGTGTCCTGGAGCTGTTGACAGCAGTGCTGCTAGAGGGTCGGACCTCTCTCTCGATGCTACGTGTGCATGAGACCTTGTGTGTTTTCTGTACTGGAAAAAAATAAAAAAGGAAAAGAAGATCGATTTTTTTCAGAACAAAAGCTCTTCCTATTTTAAGTGGAAAGTGGTTTGAAATCAGTAAACACCCTGATTCCCTTTGGTCCTCACACGCACACGTGATGGAAGGAAGTGTGGAGGACCAGTGGTATCAACAGGCTGCCCCAGAGGACGGGGCGGCACGTGTCTCTTGGCTCTCATTGTTGGGGGTATGTTTTATTTTTCTGCAGTGGGCACGCATGATAACATTATCACTGGTATTAAAAAAAGACTCCCTCAGGGCTGGGGTTGCCGCTCAGTGTTGGGGCACTTGCCGAGCAAGCGTGAGGCGCTGAGTGCGATCCTCAGCACCACATCAAAAAAATAAAAATAAAATAAAGATATTGTGTCCACCTACAATTAAAAAAATAGATACTTAAAAAAAGACTCCCTAA